GGCTGTGATCCCCCACCTGCACCCCGTGCACTGAGGCCATCCACCCTGCACCCACAAACTGCCCCCTCACACCCATGCACTGCCCCTGAGTCCCCCATTTGCCCCCTATTCACACCCCTGCCACCCCCTCTCCCTACCCTGCAGGCCACAGCTGCCCTCGGGGTGGGGCCAGGGGAGGGTGGCCATCCCCGCGGGTTTGCATCCCACAGGGGTGCCAGGGGAGGTGGGAGCAGGCAGGGGCTTTGGGGTACAGGGCAGATTTGATTGCATGGCCAGGTTAGGGTGCAGGAGAGGATGGGGTGTAGGACCCTCCCAGGCTTTGGGCACAGCTGGGGTGCAGGGCCAGGTTGGGGTACAGGGCCCAGGTGGGGTGCTGGGCAGGGTGCTGACTGGGTGAGGGCAGGCTGTGCGGTGCACCCCATGCCCACTGGGTGCACAGAGCCCAGCTGTGGGGATCACAAGCATCTGGGAAAAGAGGGCTCACCCTTGGGGACCTGCACACACAGTGGCACCACATCCCTTCCACCCTGTAGCCACCTTTGGGTGTTCCTGGGCATCAGGAGGCTCCTTGGGACATTGTGGAGGGGGTAGCCACAACCTGGAGCTGTGGTTGAGCCTGAGCATGTCACTCCCGTGGACCAGCTCCATCTTCCTCCCAGCCCAAGTCCATCTTTCTTTCGAGCTTGCACCAGCCAAGGGCTGCAAAGCCTCAGCCTTTCCTAGCCCAGGACTAGGCCAGTTCAGACTGGTGAGAGCAGCACTGGGAGTGCAAGGCCCTGCCTGCGGACTCTGATCTGCTGTAAAAGCTGGAGCAGTGAGCGGGGTTGGCGCAGACTCTGCTGCAGGCAGCGTAACAAGCTGGCAGCAGAAAACCAGCCCAGGCACAGAGATAATCACGGGGGTCAAAGGCAATGTTTGCTTCCCCAGAGAAATCCACTTCTGAATGGTTTAGCAGCAAGAGCAATACCTGATGGGCAGTTAAGCGGCGAGTGCTCCTGGGAGCAACCTGCTGCAGGTGAAAGAGGGGTCACTGTTTTGGGGTACTGAGCTGAGCTGCACCCCCAGCCTGGGGCATCCTGGTGTGCCAGAGGTGGGGCATTAGCTACATCTGGTGCCATGGGCAGAGCTGGGACAAGGCAGGGAGAAGAGGGAGAGCCAGCCCTTCCCAAGCACTGTGCCAGCGGGTGAGCAGAGCCTGGGGTGCCAGCCCTCTGGGGCTGGCCAAAGCACTGAGCCCTTCCCCAGCCACATCCACAGGGTGACAGTGAGTGTTAGGGACATCCACATCCCTAGCTGCAGTGACACCAGGTGGACATGCCCTCCACGGTCACAGTCCTCATGACACCAAGGGAGGGTGGGCTAGCATCGCCCAGGCAAATTCTGGCTGGAAAGGAAACCCCTGGAAAGGGCAAAAGTGGTTGAAGGTTTTTATAGCTCACTCCCAAGCAGGGAAATGAGGTTTGTGCTGGGAGTTTGCAAGTGCAGGTCCCTCCAGTCCATGTGGGCTTCAGAAATGAGGAGCAAAGTGGCTCTCAAGCTGCCTTGGGGGCAGCCCCAGTCCCCTGTGAGGTGTCCCCATGCTGCAGGGTCATGCCACAGCATGCCATGTGGGCATCTCCGTCTCACTCAGCCTCCTGGCCAGCTGCTGCTCCCCCAGGCCGGGTTTGGGGAAGCAGGTGTGTCCCTTCCCCAGGGGCAGTGGTCGCCTCCTTGGGGACATGGCTGCTCTCCTCCTCCTCTTCCTCCTCCTTCTCCTCATCTTCCTCGCTCCCCGGGCAGAGGAAGCAGCAGGGGAATGCTTTGCAGGAGGATGGCAGCAGTCTCCTCAGCCCAGAGGGGAGCCCATACTCCTGGCTGGCTTTGCCCCTCTCTCCACGGGGGTGACAATCGCCTGCCCCAGCTTTCCGCAGCACCAGGTTGGAGAGCAGCCCTCGCTCCTCCAGGGTTCCTGCAACCAGGGCAGTGGGCAGTGAGATGGGAGCCCCCTTCCTCCAGCTTCACCCTCCCAACCCATCCCAGCCCCAGGACCACCAGCAGGGCTGGCAGGAGGCAGAGCCAGTGGTTCAGGGATGGTCCCATGGCCAGATGCAGTCCTCAGAGCAAGTGCTCATGCAGATGTGCTGTAGCATCCCCTCACCTGAGACCGTGTTCTCCAGGAAAAATGATAAGAAGCCAGTTAAGAAGACAGGCACCATGAGCAGGGAGAGGAAGAGGAGGTCCAGGGGCACCCAGCCTGCGGGGACAGTGCCAGAATCACTGAGGATGTCCCAGCCCAGCATCAGGGAAGGGGCAGGAGCTGCTGCAGCCAATCCAGGAGTTGGAGAGGGGGCTGCCTGCTGCCATGAACAGCCCCAGCCTCTCAGGACATCAGAGACATGTGGCCACCTTGTCACAGGCCTGGAGGCTTTGCTTTGCCCAGAGACCATCCCCACTACCTGTGGCGAGGTGAGCTGGAGCCGCACTGAACCACCGTGGCACCAGCAGGGCCATGAACATGGTGAAGCCAACGATGAAGATGTTCCTCCCGGAGTCGATGTCTGCATACTGGAAGTAGGAGATCCCCGTGCCCACGGCCACGGCGTAGGTGACACAGAGCACCCCCCCTGCGAGGGACAGGAGTCAGGCAGCACTGGGCAGGCTGCAGGCACTGTGATGCAGGGGAAGGGCAGGATACCCACCATGAACTGCCAGTGGGATGCGGGTGAGGAGCCCTGCCAGCCTCGGGGACATGCCCAGCACCACGCACGCCAACGCACTTACTTGCACCGAGAAGCGAGAGCCAGCCTGGTGGAAAGGAGGACGGGAAAGTGAGGACGGGGAGTGTCACCCCCAATTCTGTCCCTCTCATAGGGCCATACAGCCCTGCCTTTCCCAGCGCTGGTTCAGTAACAGCCTGGGCACTACAGGTCGCCCACACCTCCTTCCCCATTGCCCCCCCATCCCGTGCCGACCTTCCTCCCCCCATCCCGGGCGTACCTGTGTGAGGCTGGTGGCACAGGCATTGGCGCGTGGCCGATGCGGGCAGCCGTGCCCCCCGGGCTGCCCAGCAGCCCTGCCAGGAGGCTGCCCAGCCCTTCCATGCAGAGACCCCGGTTGCAGGCTTGGGGGGGCAGCTGGGGGACTCGCAGCAGCCGCCCACACAGCACATAGCAGCCCACGGAGTTCATGCTGCAACCAACGGCCATGGCGATGCCCACTGCCAGCGCCCGGAGGGTGAGCAGCGGCCACCTCCACTCGCCTGCAGCGGAGGGAGAGGGGACAGGTGACACGGGCCCTTGCTGAAGGCAGATGGCTGCACCCAGCCCTGCCACCCCCCACCTGCGTAGGGAA